CAGGGAGCCCGATGTGGGGCTCGATCCCAGGACCCTGAGATCATGACCTGAGCCGAAGGCAGACGCTTAACGACTGAGCCACCCAGGTGCCCCTCATTGTCTTTTGAGGGAAAAGTTAAGTTGCTGTTATCTTTTGTTTTAGGCACTGGCGGTTACATTCACCAACTTTGTCACGGAGCCACTGAAACACATTGGGAAAGGAGCTGGGGAATTTATTAAAGAGTTCATGAAGGAGATCCCAGTATTACTTCACATTCCAGTGCTGGTCATTATGGCATTAGCTGTCCTGGTTAGTATACAGCACGGTTGACTATTAACAGCGCTTGTAGAAAAAAAGGCAATTCTAAAACTTAGATTTTTTGCTGTTGTAAATCAGGCTAAATTTTGCTTAACGGTATGAGAAGATGATTTTTAAGTGATACAGATTTATTTATACTTACATGTATATTCCTTTAAGCAAGAAAATGTCAAGTTTGACTATAGATGTCATGGCAGTGACTTAGAATAATATTTTTCTAAATTTGTTCTTCACCTTGGTGAATTAATATACATGAAATCAGTTGTTTTTGTCCTCTTTGAGAAAGGGGGCCTTCTTATTTCAGTCTGAGTTTTTGCAGCACTAAGAAGGGAAGAGCATTGGCTTTTCCACAGAATCAAATTGGGATGTGGAAGAAGGTGAGTTACTGAGAAACAGTTGGGGAATCCAGGAACAGACATTTGTTAAGAAGAAACATTATTCATTATTCATCTATGGTCTCTTCAACTTTTTTTATTGATTTTCGGCCCTTACTCTAATAAAGCAGTTGTCACTTAAAAGGTAAAGAACCCAGATGTGCCACGGGAAAAACCAGGTTTGCATTTGTGAAGAAATTAGCCTATTTAAAGTTTATAACTTTAAATATTTTCAGCGTCTATTTTCTCTGATGGGTGTGAATATACACAACATAGCGTTATCAGACAGTACCTTCCAATTTAAATTATTAAAAAGGATTTTCTTCCCTAAGGATACAAAATTTACTACACTTTATTCACTTTGAAATTGTTCCTATTTTGGTTTTGTTTTTTGGCTTGTGATTACAGGAGTCTGGTTTAGGGATATGGTTTTGTTAGGTGATATTAGTTGTATAATAGTGCAGATTTTCCTTGACTTATGGGATTACGTTCCAATAAACCCACTGTAAGTTGAAAATGGATTTACTACACCTAGCTTCCAGGACATCGTAGCTTAGCCTAGCCCACCTTAAACATGCTCAGAATGCTTATGGTAGCCTGCAGTTGGGCAAATTCATCTAACACAAAGCCCATTTTATAACAAAATGTCAAATATCTCACGTAGTTCCCTGAATATTGTACTGAAAGAGAGAAACAGAATGGTTGTGTGGGTACGGAGTGGTTGTGAGGGTGGGGGTTGTTCACCCTCGATACCCCGTGGCTGACCAGGATCTGCCCTGCCCAGCATCACCAGAGAGGATTGGACCCCAAATCGTTAGTCCAGGAAAAGATCCAAATTCTAAATTTGAAGTACAGTTTCTACTGAGCACACTATCACTTTCTTAGCATCGTGAAGTCTAACAGTTTTAAGTTGAACCATCGTAGTTGGGGGACTGTTTGTAGTTAGTCTCTGAAGCTGAAATTATAAGCAAAAACCCATCATTTCTTCTTCATCTGCCTAAGAAAAGGACTTTTACTGCTTCTGTCTTTAAATAGGTTCTCCAGCACAGTGATTTTCAAACTTTTTGTTTTTAGGACCCTTTTGCCCTCCTAACTGCAGACCACAAAAACAAAAAAACAAGAACCCCCCCCCCCAAAAAACAAACAAACAAAAAAACTGAAGACCACAAAGAGCTCTTGTTTATAGTGGTTTTATTTATTGATATTTACCATATTAGGAATTAAAACTAAGAAAAATTTCAAATACAAGTTTACACAAGCACACAGTCGACGAGCCAGTAGAGTGAAGAAGTCATTCCAGCCCCGGAAGGCTCCACCATACGCTCAGAAGGGAAGAATAAAAAAGACTAAGGTATTTGAAGTATGAAAAGTTTGACCTTACAGAGTCCCTGAAACTGTCCCAGGGATCCCCCTCCCAGGGGTCCCTGGGCCACAGTTTGAGAACTGCTGCCTAGTTTTTCTCATGAAATGGGATTCAAAGCCTGTTGAATTTTAGTTGTCACTAAAGCCGTTTGTATTTGTAGAAAAGTTACCCTACATGAGAATGTTGATGTAATTATGTGTGTAACACTAATTTTTAGCATTTACCTTATATGGTGGGTGTGAAAATAGACATCTGATGAACAGTTATCAATTAGTACCTTCCCATTTAAGTTTCTAGGTTTTAGCCAAACTGACCTTGTTACAATTCAGTGAAAGTGTGTTCAGCTCATTGAAATGTCTACTTATCACTTCGTGATTTCTCACATTTTGTTGGCTACTCTGGCCTAGTGTTAATCTAAACAAGAGATCGCAAATGAAACAACAGTGAAATAAACATGTTTATGTCTCCAAATGCCATTAAGTCAAGTTAGGTAATTTTGCTAGCACCCTGAATAATTTCATTGTAAGTCAGCCATTAAATACTATATATTTATTTCTTTTCCTTCTAGAGTTTCTGCTATGGTGCTGGAAAATCAGTTAATATGCTGAGACATTTAGGTGGTCCTGAAAGAGAACCACCCCGGGCACTTGAGCCAGCTGATAGAGGACGGCTGCAGGAAGTTGGTGATAGACCCCATGGTGGAGCAGGTGATGCACGTTTCCCTTATAGAGGCCACATCAGCCCCTTTGAGCGAGGCCCTTATGACAGAACATATGAGGGTAGAAGAGATGGTATGAGAGAGAGAGATGTTGACTTGATACCTAGGACTGGCACCAAGAGCCCCGAAGTGCTCCGGCCATGCGATGTACCCCAGGCAGAGGCAAGGGAGCGTCCCACGGTGGTACCCAGTGTAAGTCAGCAATTGTTTCTTTTGCCGTCCTTCATGTAGGCCTGCCTCTGTGCTTCCTGTAAAGCTTCCGGTTAGGCGATTCTTCTCTTTTACCTGCCACGGTTAATTATATCATTATTAATATAATTGTTTATTCTGTTTTCTGGCCAAAAGTTCAGCCTTCTCAGAACTAAAACGAGATTTAATTTTTATGTTAAATCCTATTTAACGGTAGTTAGAACAGGTTAGTAATTCATACGAAATTTCATAGGAAACCAAGTAATTGTGACTGAAATTTCTGCCTTTGAAGAGCTCAGAGAAAAGTCTTCACTGAAGGCCTGGAGCCTGGGGGAACCTGCAGGAGACCCCTAAAGGCTCAGCTGGGTGGGAGAGTGGGTGGGGAGGGGTCACACAGCCCGCTTTGCCAAATCCTTGGCATCATTGGCTAGACTCTCTACTTTCTACCTGCAGAATGCTGAGGTGTTTTTTCTATGTTATTGGCCATTTAAAGGGACATTTCCGTTTTTGTTTGAGAGAGGAATTTACATTGTCATTTGCAAAGTTTAAGTTGTAACTGGAAACCTTGGAGAAACAGTTGTGAGCACAGTAGAATCTAGAAAATTAGAATCCCTTCCCATGGAGTTTCTTATAAGAATAAACATACCTGCATACATCTAAAAAATTTTCAGATGTTCTTTTCATTTAATAGTTAATGGTAATGCACCACTCATCTCAAAGTCTCCAGGGACTTCTCATCTCACTTAAAGGGAAAGCTAGTTATCTTGGTGGCCCAGGGCTTCCTTGATCCGCCCACAGTCCACCTCCGTTAGTACATGGATTTCTTCTCCTCCTGTGCTCACTCTCCTTCAGCCACAAGGGCCTCCTCACTATTCCATGAATTAGAACCTTTTTACTTGCTGTTCTCTGTCTAGAACGCCGAAATGTGGTTCATTTCTTTAAGTCTTTACTCCTGTATCACCTTTCACATTACCCTAATTTATTTATTTTTTAAAGATTTTATTTATTTATTTGACAGAGAGAGAGACAGCGAGAAAGGGAACACAAGCAGGGGGAGTGGGAAAGGGAGAAGCAGACTCCCTGCTGAGCAGGTAGCCCCATGCGGGGCTCGATCCCGGGACTCCAGGATCATGACCTGAGCCGAAGGCAGTGACTTAACCAACTGAGCCACCCAGGCGCCCCCACATTACCCTAATTTAAACAGTCGTCTGACCCCAGCTTGGTACTTTAATTTGTTGCTTGATTGTCTCCCCAAGTGAAATGGAAGTTCCAGTGAGGGCAAGGGTTTTTGTTGGTTTTGTTCCTGCTGTTTCCCCAGTACCTGGAACTGAATACAGGCTCAGTAAATAATTTGTTGAATGAATTATTCTCACCAGGCAAGAGGAGTTAGCAGTACTGGTCCCCAGTCCTCTTGTCCTCTTTCCCTCTCCTAAAGCTGGGTCGCTAGACCACCTGGAATATCCTGAGTGCCCCCACTCCTCCGTGCAGGGTTCTGTGAGGCTTACTAACATTTACATAATTACAGCACTGGAGCTGGGATTTGAAGGAGTTGAGAGTTTGATACAGATTTGCATAGGAACTTGTGAAACGTGTTTGATGACTGATCTTCACATTATGTTAATTAAAAAATTAAAATGTCATTCTCTACAGCATAAATTACCTTTTTTGGATACAAAGCCCAAAGAATTTGGTGGAATCCAGGGAGAAAGCACACTGCTAGAAAGCAGTACCGAAAGCAGCCAGTCTAGTAGGCCTGTCTCTGGCCCAGACACATCAGAGAAGGTGGAAGGTTCACCTGCAGAGGAAAAGGCCCAGCTCGGGACTGATGTCAGAGGCAGCCCAGAGGAAGGCAGCGCGTCCAGCCCAGCCAGCGGTGGGAAGGATCTGGAGAGTGGCCCATGTGGCTAGAGGAGCACAGCCTCGGACCACAGCTCAGAGGTCATCTTTGGGTTTTGTAAAGTATACTCTTCACAACTATTTGCTCTTCTCTACAAATATTCTGACATTTACTACCCTACAGGTGCCAACTTAAACATGAATATTTTTATTGACCGTCAGAACTAACGAATACCCATGTATTTCTGTTTAATTTTTATCGTTTGTGTAATTTCATTTTCATATTGGTACCTCCTGTGGTTTGTGGTGTTGATTTTGGAACAGGATCTCATAGATGAACATATGGCAAGCATCACTGATTTCAGATAAGAGGCCAATTTGAATTAGGAAACATTGAAAAATAAGTTTTATGGTTCACACGCATATATAGGAACCAACTAGCCGACGTGTGTGTTGCCTAGTGGATGTCCTGTAATACCTACTTCAGTTAATGATTTGTTAGTTGTGCACTGGATTTGATATGTTTCCAAAAGTGGTAGGTACTCAGAAACTATTTTAAGGAAAGTCCACTGTCGTAAGCTTTACCCTTTTCATGCACTTCAGCGTCTTACTGCAGTCACGGAGTCTGGGTCCCCTTGTCTCTGCGGAGGCTGCCCCAGCTCATCATGGCTTCGTCGTTGCGAATCCTGCCTCCATCGCTCAACTCTTCCAGTGCTGACTGGGCCTGCTTCCTTGTCGCCCCTTTTTACCCTCAGCTAAGACAGACCTGAAGATGGCCAGGAGAATTTAGTTACCACAGTTTGTTAATTGGTGATCTTGGTCTTACATAGTCAGTAGACGGAGAATAGCTTTACCCTTTCCCCACCAAATACATACTTTACACATTGGTCGAGTACAACATTTTTGCTAAACAGCGTAATTTCTCTATGTCCCTGGTTAAGTATAAAAAAATGCCATTGCCAATTAAGATTTTAAAAAATTACCTCAGCAAGAGGATGTAAAATTTATTAATATTATTTTCTAGTTTAATATTGCAAACATCTTTAGTAATTCATCAGAAAGGTAGTAGTTCTTTCCAGAAAAAGCAACAGGATTTTATAGAAAAATTTGCAACACAGTAGGTATGGGACAAATGAACTAATGCAAGGATGCCTGCAGCTTGGAGTGGATTCGTGAACATTGGTGCATATTAAGTCCTCCCTGAGGGCCAGACCTGTTCACACTAATTGGTAAATATGTGCCCAGGATGGTAGTTGTCCTCTGAGCTGTGACGGGATTCTGAAGAGCAATGAATGCCTCAGGTGACGGACTAACTGTGAGAGTGGAGTTAATGCTGTTTGAACTCCTAACTACTTTTTATCCAAAAATGAATCTGTAAAGAATTAAGTAGAATTTCATCTTTGTATTCTTTCATTACAGATAGCCGTTTGGGGATGCAGTCCACTTGGACAGCTAGCGAGGCAACATACCACTGCTGTTGAATGATGACGGCAATTTAGGGAAGACACTAAAGCAGACCGAACAGATCAAGGCCAGTTTATAACTTGGGGAAATAGACTTGTTTATTGTCCAGCCCATATTTATCATTAGAATCAAGAATTTTAGCAACAAGCTTTTAGGAAAATCAGAATTGGGTAGACAGCTTTATAAAAGCAGTGTTTAAGTGGAATAGATAATGTTGAATGTTTACAGGGTCTAAGAACTATTGTATACACAAAATAAACACCTATTTTTACATTATTGTAATTTGATATGGTGTCTTTGCTCATTGAATATGCTGGTAAGAAAAAAACCCCATGATACTTACATGCAGGTTTTTTTTTTTTTTTTTTTAAAGATTTTATTTGAGAGAGAGAGAATGAGAGACAGCATGAGAGGGAGGAGGGTCAGAGGGAGAAGCAGACTCCCCGCCGAGCAGGGAGCCCGATGCGGGACTCGATCCCGGGACTCCAGGACCATGACCTGAGCCGAAGGCAGTCGCTCAACCAACTGAGCCACCCAGGCGCCCCTTACGTGCAGTGTTTAAAAGGATGTTGTCTAGGACGTTCTATTGTATATGTGATATATAAGACATAAGATGATCCGGGTGTTAACTGAGTACTTTTGACAAAATTTGTCTGACCTTAGAACCAAGAATAATCTTTTTTTCCCCTGAGCCTTTGATGTGATTCCAGATCGAGTAACTATCTTTCTATTTTATTTTTGTGAACACTGGCCATTTGGAGAAGTGGTTCTCACTGCCCACCAAGTCACCTGAAGGATTTTTAGAAAGAACAGAGCCCCAGATACCATCCCAGCTGTGCAGAATCAGAAGCAACCAGAAGTGAATGAGTTGCCAACTTGTTCTGGGTATGGGCATTTGCGTTCTAGAATTCACCCTTAGACTAGGCTCTACTCTATCCCATCTTACTGTGTTCTTTTCCTAAGCTAACTTTATGTCATGTCCTATTCTATACCTTTGTAAACTACCTTCAGTTTCTGGGAGGGGGAAGGAAGGCTTAATGGTGACTGAGGGCTTAACTTAGATCTTTCATATTTAAATTTTGTGAGTTTTCATCTGTTCTCTATTTTCAAGGCCTAGGTTCTTGATATAACCACATGAGTTTTACGGGTGTTTTTTTTTGCTTTGTTTTGTTTTGACATTAGGTCTTAAAAAATTTTACACCAGTGTTTTGTAACAGAAGGTATAATTTTAAGCCACACACACACTTTAAAATTAAAGGGCCCAAAACATGCTGAAAGTTTATTTTGAGTTTTTATAATGGCTTCGAACTAATAACATACTGAAAATATGACTTTCTTAACAGAAAAAAGATCTAGATTTTTTTAATAAGACTAACTTTTTTTTACACATTGGTCAGGTAAGTTATTTTTACTAAACAGCAAAATTTCTCACTACATCCATGGTTCAGTATAGAAGAATGCCATTGTCAATTAAGATTAAAAAAAAATTATCTCAGCAAGAGGATTAAATTCTAGTCTAGATTCATTTACCTTCCTACTTTACAAACTCTAGGTAAAGGAATCTAACAAGTTGCCAAAGAACACAATCCTGAGCCTTAATCACAAAAGTTGATGAAGCACCTTTTATAAGACCCCTCCACCCTGCAACAAGTGCGTGTCCAGAGGAATGTTAATATCATACTACTAAAGGTTAAATATTTACATCATTCTAGAGCATTTTAAGCTGTATTACAGTGCTATAATTTCTCCTCTTAAGGAAAAAGTAATAGATTGAATTTCCCTTCAGTGTTCTGAAAGGAAATAAGGTCGTTTTAAAAAAATATCCATAATAACTAGCGGTTTGCTTATTTTTTTCCTGTATTTTTAAATTCCAACAAAGCATTACTTTGCAAAAGGTCCTTCAGTTCAAATTCAGTGTCTCTGTTTTGATCTCGTTGTAAAAGAACTCTCTGTTCATCCATTCTTTTTGCCTGAGAACGTAAAATCAAGCTAAAAAAGTCCTCATCTGGTACTGTTGGTCCCTTTGTGGCAGCAGGTGGTGGAGCACATCTTTGATCATCTAATCTGGACCCCTGAAAATTGATGAGAGAGATTAAAACACAAATACTTCATTAATGTTTGTCATCACAAGAAAAAAAACTTTTTTTTTTGCCTCGTCTCAGAAATTTAATCTTCAGACCTGAAACCTGATAAAACTTTTGCCATTGGGACGCCTGGGTAGCTCAGTCGTTAAGTGTCTGCCTTCGGCTCAGGTCATGGTCCCAGGGTCCTGGGATCGAGCCCCGCATCGGGCTCCCTGCTCATTGGGGAGTCTGCTTCTCCCTCTCCCTCTGCCTGCCACTCTGCCTACTTGTGCTATCTCTCTGTCAAATAAATAAATAAGATCTTTAGGAAAAAAACAAACTTTTGCCATGACTTACATAATCAGAATCTAGCAAGTATTATGTAGAAGTGTAACATCATGGCTTTGGTAAGATTAATTAAGATACAAGGTCAAATATTACAGAGTAGGCACTGGCAAATACAACTTCTCAAATCCTTAGAATGTTAGGTACAAAAACCCTGCAGCACTACCTTACAAATTCTGTGTCAGGCCAGGGGTCAGCAAACCAGAACCCACTTTCTGGGAAGGGCCATTTGGAGAAGTGGTTCTCACTGCCCACCAAGTCACCTGAAGGATTTTTAGAAAGAACAGAGCCCCAGATACCATCCCAGCTGTGCAGAATCAGAAGCAACCAGAAGTGAATGAGTTGCCAACTTGTTCTGGGTATGGGCATTTGCGTTCTAGAATTCACCCTTAGACTAGGCTCTACTCTATCCCATCTTACTGTGTTCTTTTCCTGTTTTTGTACATAACGTTTCCTTTTCATTTCACCACAATGCTCATTTGTTGATGAACTGCGTGTGGCTGCTTGCCAGCTACAACAGCAGAGTTGAGCAGTTGTGACAAAGACCATGGGGCCTGAAAAGCCTAAAATGTTCTCTGTCTAGCCCTGTCTTAAGCATTTAAATCTGTTAAATAGCCCAGATTTTTTCCTTGAAGTTTTAACTTACCGATCCTTATTTTAGAAGTACAGTAGAAATGTTATTGATCAACTAAAAAATATAAGCACTTAAAAGTGTACATAGAGTGTCTGGTATTGTAAGCTCCAGCGTGGGAATATGCAGGCTGACGCTGGAGTGCCCACTCTTGCTGGGCACTGTGCACTGACCTGCCTTCACATTTAACCCCGCAGCCCTGGGACCCTCACAGGCCTCCTCATGAGCGGCCGCCCCGCCACACACATGCACCCGGCTCACGCTTCATTTCTCCTGCCTTTATGCTGTGGTGATTTCGCTGTCCTCCAACTCATCCAACACTTGGGCACTGGGGTCCCTAGACCTCTTCTCTTCTGGTCTTCATTCTTTACCTCTGCCTTATCCATTAGCTCCCGTGGTCATAGGCCCGACTTGGCCACTCTCAGTAATTGCACTGTCTTTACAAGCATGATTTCAAGCATCCCATGTTGACTGCCACCTCCAATTTTCCAGATCAGCCCAGACAGTAATCCCCCAGGAAACTTTTTTTTTAAATTGTAAAAGTTTGCCGCTTTAACCATTCTTTTTTTTTTTTAAAGATTTTATTTATTTATTTATTTGAGAGAGAGCAGGAGAGGGGGGAGGGTCAGAGGGAGAAGCAGACTCCCTGCTGAGCAGGGAGCCCGATGCGGGACTCGATCCAGGGACTCCAGGATCATGACCTGAGCCGAAGGCAGTCGCCCAACCAACTGAGCCACCCAGGCGCCCCGCTTTAACCATTCTTAAATGTACAGTTTAGTATTAAGCACATTCATCCTGCTGTGTGGTCATCACCATCCATATCCAGAACATTTTCATCTTGTAAAACCAAAACTCGAAACCTTTAAACGGTAGCTCCCATTCTTCCCTCTCCAGCCCCTGGCAACCACCATTCTGTCTCTATGAATCTGACTACTTTACCTCATATGAGTGGAACTGTATAGTATTTGTCCTCCTCTGACTGCCTGCTTCTCAGCATAATGCCTTCAGGGTTCACCCATGTTGTGGCTTGTTTCAGAATTTTCCTCATTTTTAAGGATGAAAAATATTCCACCGTGTAGGTATACACATTTTATCCACCTACCAATGGGCACTTGGTTGCCTCTATCTTTTGGATATTGTGAATAATGCTGTTTGAACATTGGTGTACAAATATCTGTTCATATCCATGATTTCAACTGCTTGGGTTATATATGCCCAGAAATGAGATTGTTGGATAATATGGTAATTTTTCACTTTCTAAGGAACCACCATA